GCCCAGAATTGGACTGCTGAGCACTGTTTCTGAGCACCCTACACCTGACCTCAGGAAGCCCCACCATCTCTGCCTTCAATGTATATCCAGAGAAGGCCGGGGATATAGCTCAGCAGCTCAGCACCTGCCTGGAAAGCCCAAGATTGTGAGTTTGATTCCCAGTACTCCACCCCCCAAAAAAGAATCAGATTCTATCTTCCCACCTTCACTGCTCCTGCCTGGAGAGCCACCCCGACCTTGAGCTGGTTCTGTACATTGATCTCTGCTCCTGTTCAGGTGCTGTCTTTCTCTCAGTCTGTTGATAACATGGCAGCTGGAATCTCCATGTTGAGATATGTCAGATCACCCAGTATTTCTTAAATCCCTGCAAAAATCTCCTCCAAACCTCCCACCAGCTGGCTCCTGAACAGTGTTCTCGCCCTGTATCCGCCTGTGTCCTGGTCTCTGCGTTCCTGCAGCTTTGCATCTACCTGTGCTCCTCTCCCCCGATAAACTCGTGTCCACGCCTGTCCCACTTGTCTGGTCTGGTCTGTCCTCACCTGCCCCGTCCTCACTGGCTCTTCCCGGCACACAGCCAGGACCACACCTCCTTGGGTTTCTTCTGAGCACTTTTAACACATCAGCCGCTTTACTTCCTTATGTACTTCTTTCCGGGGTCCTTGCCTCAGAATGTAAACTCCACGAGGACAGAGACTGTTTCATTCCTTCTAGAACAGCAGCTGCACAAAGGCACTGGATAAAGATCAACTGATTGATGACTGAGCCATTGATTCATCTCTCTATCTACCATCCATTGGGCTACACATAACTTACCCAACAACCCCTTTTTCACTTACGTACCTTCTCACCCATCCAACATGCGATCACACCTACCTGTTCCACCTGTCCAGCATATGTACCCTAGGTAGCTGCCCATGATGTGACATATGTTACTGCATCCCCAGTACACACAACAGCTACCCAGCATACACTCATAAAGTCGCTTTCTGCCTGCCTGCCTAACCCCCTGATTCATTCATCCAGCTTACACCCACAGGTTGCTTTGCCCATTTGTGCCACCGCCTATTCTCCTGTGCTGTCCACTTAGCGTAGTCACATGTCCATCTATGGACCTGCTGTACCCAATCCAGTGTATATTGATACATTTACCTCCTTGCCCATTCTGCCGATTCAATGTGCATTATTGTCAATCCAGCATACATTATTCCTGTGACCGCTTCTCTGTCCACCTTTCACAAACCCACCCCCTTTCCAGATACTGAGTTGTCTCCCCAGGCCCTCCTTTCCCATGTCATCTTCATAGCCAGCATCCCTTTGTGCTGGCTGCCATCCAGCTGTCTTCCAATTGCTGATCCATCCATGTGAAACCTTGCCTCTGTCATTCCTTCCAACAAGAAGCAATGATCAAGACTTAGCTGAAGAATTCATAGCTTGGTGGGGGGCTTTTTATTTTGTAACAAGGTCTTACTATGTAGTCCAGTTGTGCAAGCAGCCTTGCACTCATGATCCTCCTGCCTCTGCCTGCTGAGGGCTGATTACAGCCATGTGACCCAGCTTCAGACATTTTGTTGTTGGGTTTTGTTTTGTTTTGTTTTGTTTTAATATGAAAAAAGCAATGAATGGAGTCCACCACATTAACGAATCAGAAGACAAAATCGTGTTTGTCACATGAAACTTTTTAGCACAGTGTTAGACCTCTAGACATGAGGTGAACATTGTGCTCTGTAGTGGAATTTAAGCTCTAGCTTGAGAAGGGACTGCTTATTACGTCTGTGCTACTCCATACTCTTCTAAAGTCACCTTCGCCTCCACCATAAAAGCTGCTATGGGCCAGCTGTTCTGCCAGTCCTGCACGCTTGCTAGTTCACGAGGCCCTTCACCGCCTGCATGAGGACAGCACCATGTGGCCCTTGTGTCACAGATGAGGGCTCAGAGGGACAGTAAGGGCAGTTACCTTCTGGGTCACATGGTGAGCACTTGGCAGAACCAGGTGTGCGTCCAGCTAGCGACTATCTCACATCTGTGCCCCTAACTGCTGTATTGCACAGTCTGGAATAAGGACTAGAACGAGCCCGCAGAACTGCTGTTGTTCACAGTGGATTTGTTATGATTTATTATGAAAAACATTTGGTCAGTTATTAAAAATACCATCGCATAGCTGGACACAGAACCACTCTGCAGGAGAGAGTCAGATGTCTACAAGCCAGCAAAAAATCAATGAGAAATGTCACTTTACATTGTAATTTAAAAATAAATAGGCAACTGGGCGTGGTGGCCCACTCCTGTAATCCAAGCACTCAGGAGGCTGCAAATTCAAGACCAGCCTGGACTACAAAGTGAGTTCAAGTTCAACCTGAACTGCATAGTGAGACCTTGTCTCAAAAAGACAATTCATTAATTAAAAAATTAAAATAAATAGGCTAAAACCAGGTTTGGAGGTAAATGCTTATAATCCCAACACATGGGAGGCTGAGGCAGAGAGATCCTTATGAACTAAACAAAACCAAATCTAAATAAGTAAATAGGGAGGAAGGTACAGAAAGTTTTAGTTGAGGTAATCCCAGCATTTGGGAGGCTGAAGCAGGATGATCACTGTGAATTTGAGACCAGTTTGGGCTACAAAGTGAGCTCAAGTGCAGCCTGAACTGCGTAGCAAGATCCTGTTCTCAAAAAGACAATAAATAAAATAAAATAAAATAAAATAAAATAAAATAAAATAAAATAGCTAAAGCCAGATGTGGAGGTACATGCCTATAATCCCAACAGATAGGAGGCCGAGACAGAAGGACCCTCATGAACTAAACAAAATAAAACCTAAATGAATAAATAGGCGAATACGAAACCTACAAAAGATAACTCTTTAAGGAGAAAATTACAAATCTATTTAATAAAGATTCCCTGTTCTCGGGAAGGAGGACAGAATTCAGTGACAGCTACCAACATCCATTCCCTCCAAGGTCACTGGAATAACAACTCCCCCGACAGAGCCTGCTCCCCACTTCCATCCCCTGTCCCTCAGCCCCATTTGCACTCTGCTATCTCTGTATGTGCACATCCCCCGTGAGTCTGCTCTCCCTTCCCCTCCCTGCCATCTGACCTTCCTGTCCCATCTGACCCTCCTCTCCCACCAGCCCTCCATCCCTCTATCCGTCTGCACATCCATCCCTTCATCCTCCTCTCTCTCCTCTCCCTTTGCTCCTCCCACTACCTGCTTCCTCCCTCCACACAGAACCATCCTCCACCCAGCTGCTCTCCTGCGCACGCGTGCACTCCCACCTTCCTGCCCTCTGCCCTCTGCCCCACTCAGTGCTCTGATCTCCATCCACCTTCACCATCTGTCTGTCCAGTGAACTGGGCCTGGTCAGTCCAGGTACTTATCTGTCCTATCTGTCCACCTTCCTTCCTTCAACCAGCCCAGTTGACTAATGCAAAGACTTTCTTTTTTCTTTTTCTTTCATTCTTTTTTTGTTTGTTTGTTTTTGTATTTTTGAAAACAGGGTCTCACTATGCAGTTTAGGCTGGCCTTGAGCTCACTTTGTAGCCCACACTCGTCTCAAACTCACAATGAGCTTCCTGCCTCAGCCTCCCAAGTGCTGGGATTACAGTCATGCACCACCACACCCAACTAAAACTTTCAGTACCTCTCTCCCTATTTACTCATTTAAATAAGGTTTTGTTTAGTTCATGAGGATCTCTCTGCCTCAGCCTCCCATGTGTTGGGATTACAGGCATATACCTCCAAACCTGGTTGTAGCCTATTTATTTTAATTTTTTAATTAATTAATTAATTGTCTTTTTGAGACAAGGTCTCACTATGCAGTTCAGGTTGAACTCGAACTCACATTGTAGCCCAGGTTGGTCTTGAATTTGCAGCCTCCTGAGTGCTTGGATTACAGGAGTGGGCCACCACGCCCAGTTGCCTATTTATTTTTAAATTACAATGTAAAGTGACATTTCTCATTGATTTTTTTGCTGGCTTGTAGACATCTGACTCTCTCCTGCAGAGTGGTTCTGTGTCCAGCTATGCTATGGTATTTTTAATAACTGGCCAAATGTTTTTCATAATAAATCATAACAAATCCACTGTGAACAACAGCAGTTATACTGGCTCATTGTAGTCCTCGTTCCAGCAATACAGCAGTTAGGGGCACAGATGCGAGATAGTCGCTGGCTGGACGCGGACCTGGTTCTGCCAAGTGCTCACCATGTGACCCAGCAGGTAACTGCCTTTGTGTCCCTCTGTGCCCTCATCTGTGACACAAGGGCCACATGGTGCTGGCCTCATGCAGGCGGAGAAGGACCTCGTGAACTAGCTAAGGCTTTCTGTTCCTTCTTCCCTTTGGTTCTCTCTCTCCTTCTCTTCTTCCTCTCTGGTTTTCATTTCTGCTTACACCGTTCTCACACTTGCCCTTGTTGGACTTTGTAGGTAGAGAAGGACACCCCAACACTCCCTTGGAAGAGGGTGCCCTCTCAGAAAATTGCCAGGGTGCCCACAGACCCTCCAGGGAGCTGGGGTCCTCCTACCCCATTCCCACCATATCCTTCTTCAGACAACATGGGGCCAGATGGGCACCTGTCCTCTCCTCCCAGCACCTGCTCTCAGAATCAGTTCCATCAGGGCGTGTATGTCACCTCTGCTCTCACTACACTGCCCTCTCTAAGACCACCTTGTCTTTTCAGTTTAGATCACTTCAGACTTACCAAAATGCTGTGAAAAACAAATTAAAACAAACAAAGTCCCGGGTACTTTTTCCCAGATTTGTAAATGTTACTGTTTTCCCCCTACTTGCTTTTTCTTTCTCTCTAAATATTTCTCTCATAAACTTTTCTGAAAGTAAACTTCACACAGGAGACCTCAAGGCTTCCCAAAAGCCAGGGCACTTCCTTGCAGATGAGCATACAGATACTGAAAATCAGGAAGTTGTCCTGGTCCTCCACCTTCTGTGGGCACCCGCATCCACACCCTGGTGACCCAGGTCTCATCCTCTTTTTGGCTCCAGGTTCGGGACAAGAAGCTCCTTAATGACCTGAATGGGGCAGTGGAAGATGCCAAAACAGCTCGGCTGTTCAACATCACCAGCTCGGCGCTGGCAGCCTCCTGCATCATCCTGGTCTTCATCTTCCTGCGGTACCCACTCACTGACTACTGACCCCATGGGCGCCAGGGCCGTGAGAATGAAGCACTGAGACTTCCCTGTCAGAGTGTGGTCGCTGAGGTGCAGGATGCCCTGAGGGTGAGGCAGATCGAGGCTCCCTCTGGGCCTCAGAGGCCGTGAGTAACCCAGAATGAGGCTGCTGAAACTGAGCGCCCAAAGAGCAGAGAGCTCCATCCAGTCCCTGTCTGCCTCTTGGCCCTCCACCCTGCCTGTCTCTGGGCCCCAGCTTCTTCCCTACTGCTGCCCCGGCTTCCATATGCCCTGCCTAGGCTCCGGGGCCTGCAGACCCCCCAGCAAGAAGGGCTTATGTGGGAGCTCCCGAGATGGGGGACTGCCAGCACCTGGGGCTCACTCTTTCCTGACCCCGCCTCCTCCAAGCTGTGACCTGCTCAGAGTACTTATACCTGTGAACTTTCAATAAAATACCTACCCTGCTCCTGCGTGGCCTTCATTCCATGCCCCAGGTGTGTGTGGTGGGGGCAGGGACCCTGGAAGCCTTAGGAGCCTCCTTTAGCTATAGCCTGACAGTCTGGGTCTGCAGAGCTGCATCACAGCCAATTGCTGACATGGACCTGACCCCTGGGGTGCATGCAGTCTGGGTACACATGGGACAGCCGAAACCTACAGCTCTCCCAGGAGGAAGTGCTCAGAAGTGATGCCAGGGCTGGCCCATCCCTGAGACGGAGGCAAGTTCCTCACCCACGCCTGCGTCTCCTCAGCCCTAAACAGGCAAAGTGGCCTCATGCTTGCCAGAGTCACAGTGAAGGCCAATCCAAGGCTGCAGCTCAGGACACCGCAGCTGTGCTGTTCTGTGGCACTAAGGAGAGGGCACTAGACTGGACAAGAACAGGCCTGTCTAGGGTGGTGATGGAGCGGGCTGCAGGCAGAGGTGGCCTCTGGCCACTGCTTCGGACAAATGGCTAGACAACTGGCAGGGGGAGAGGGCCACAGGCCAACAGTGGAAAGAAGAGGCCGACTTTGAGATGCCAAGCGGAGACATGCAGGCAAGAGGCAACACTGTGGGGAGGCGGGTTGGCAACACTGGGTTGGCAACACTGAGGGGAGATGTTGTCACCAGTGCAAGGGCATTGGGATGGGGCTTCCATGCTGGTTGCTATGGGGAAGGGGAAAGGAGGAAGCAGGGGCTCAGGGACACTGCGTGGTGAGTGGGGAGGGTGGGCCTTTGTGGGAGAGATGGGAATGTGGGGCTGGAGCCTTCACCTTTTGGCAGCAGCAAGAAGAGATCATCCTTCTCCTCCCAGTCTGGAAAAGCACTTTCCAGATGAAAAGGTCAAGCACTTGGGCCTTGGACACCAGCACATGGACAACATCCCATGGACACAGGGGGAAGCAAGAAGCCTGGCAAGTAGGGATGTGTGCAGGGGTTGGGGGAAGGGGTGCAGTGTCCCACTGTGAGTGAGACCCAGTCCCAGTCCTGACTCAAATCCTACGCAGCAAGGTAGGGTGACCCAGGTTTCAGTCCAGGCAGGAATAAAGAGGACAGGAACAGGAGGGCCTAGAAGTCAGAAAAGGGGCTTGCTGGGACCTGAGCAAGACCCTAGGGCACTGCTCCTGTCCCCAAAGGTAGTAGAGATGCCATGGCAGGGGTTGGGGGACGGACTCTGATCTGCTCAGTCCTGGACGCTCCTGACCCTTCGTCATCAGAGTAGGTAGCCCCAATGGCCTCGCCAAGGCTTCCTGGAAGAGTCAGGCAACAAATGGGGGTGCTGGGCCCTAGAAGGGGCCAGGACATGCACAAGAGACTGGGCCCTGGGCATAAAGTCAGCTTAGGCTGACCCCATATTCAAGCGACTTGTGCTGGACGGGAGGAAGCAGACTGATACAATGTCTTCCTCGTTCCCTTCCTCTGCACTGATTCTGCATTGAGCGGCTGCCTGCCTAGATGGTCTGCAGGGCTGAGTCAGGGAAGCCCCTCTCTGGGATGTGCCTAGCCCAAGGGAGGCCTCCCAAGCTCATCGTGTTGGAGACAGGACAGCCACCTGACAGCCAACAGCAATGGGACAGAGCCACACTGCACAGGTCAGCTTCACTAAGAGGGAGGACAAAACTCCTACATCCAGGGTCTTGGTGGGGTCAGTCAGCCCAAGCCCTCACTGCCTGCTTCTGGCTTCAAGCTCTGTGTCTTCACCTCCCCACAAGCCTCTCTGGGCCATTTAATTTGGTTTTGTATAGTGCCTGGGTCACATTTGACATGTGGCAAACACTTGTCTGAATCAAAGAGAGAATTACCTTCTCTCTTCACTCCCTGCCCTTCTCCCTACAGCATCTTTCTGTATGGTTCTGGCCAACTTCCCTCATATCCCAGGCTGCCCTGGCCACTGCCCTGTGACTACCAGCCCCCAGCCCACAGCTCTTCCCCCAAGTATGGATGGAAAGGGGCTGAGACCCTATCCATGCATCTGTGTGCCCATGTGTGACAGTGACCTTGTGATACAGGTATATTAAGAGGCGGTGCTCTGAGGATGGCCCAGCATCTCTCACCTTCACCACACTGGAGGTCCCCAGCCCCATGCACTTGTCCAAGCTGCTGCTGCCCTAAAGAAGCAAAGCTGACATCTCCCCGGAAGTTGATCCTGTGCCCTCAGCATCCCTGGGGCTTAGGAGAACAGAGACCTATACTCCCCCTGAGGTCCTTCTGCTCCTGCAGACCAGAAGGTGACTCAGAGTGGATGGTACCATGAGGAACAGCAAGCAGCTACTGAGGAGAGCTCAGTCCCACAGAGTGCAGAAAGAGAGGGGTTATCCGGGAAAGATGCTGGGAGACAGAGAGGGAACTATTCTGAGGCCGATTATCTTCTTACTCTGGTTCTACATTTGCCGGCTCTGCTGCAGGCTCCTGGGGGTGGCCACAGGGGCGGATGTAGCCAGGACAGCAAGACTGCGCTCCTGGGAGGCCAGCCAGCGAAGCTGTGAGCACAGAAAAGACAGAAGAGTAGTTGTGGAAAATCTCCACTACGATCACATCAACCCACAAACTCAAGACTAAGCAGCAGAAATAAAAAATCCCTAGCTTTGTCCATCAGAGAAAGGAAAAAGCTTTTTACAGCAACCAGAGAAAAACCCAGTTGTTTTCAAAGCAGCAAGAGAGGGGTGACTTTTCATCAAAAATAATGGAACATTCATAACCTGCGGGAAAGAAAATACTTCTTTGAACAAAAACTTCTGAAATGTGAACTATAATACAAAGGATTATAGTATGTAGCACAGAAGTCAATCAAAACTAAAATTTTAGGCAATGCACAGCTAGGTGAATTTTCACAAAGCACTCATCACAAAACATGGCGAATGAACACCTTGTCTCACCACCCTGATCAATATCCAGCAGACAATTACAGCCCTTTACCCATGTTCCTACGATCGATCTAAGCACTCATCTCTTAGCACTGGCATCTATTAAGTTCTTGTGTTTGAAACTCTTTGTAATTGGAAGCAATCGGCATACAGTTGTGCCCAGCATCTTTTATTGACTGTGGTTTACTGAGGTGTTGGTTAGAACCACAGCTCATGGAATCCTCACTGCTGACCATTCTTCCACTGTACAAGTAGACCAGCAGATGTGGGTGTTTCCCATTCGGGAATTCATGGATAACTGCTGGAGACCAGCGCTCTGCAGGCCCCAGGCACTTGGGCATCCTCTCCTGCATAGGTTCCGGAAAGGGACAACTGGGTTGTGAATTTCCCAGACCATCTACTCTGACAGAAAGCCCGAGTTTTCCAAGGTGCTTGTACCTCTGCCCTGCCTGCATTGCCTGGTACCTGTTTTCTTCACTTTAGTCACTGGTGCATGCCTGGCAGCATTTATGCTTTCCTCCTGAGAAATGAGGTCGAGGGTCCTTTCCATGTGTTTGCTGGCCATTTGGACCTCCCCTTTTGGGAAATGCCTGTTTTAGTACCTTGACCATTTCTTTCCTCCAGAACTATGGTTTCTTTGCTTTTGTAGGTGTTCCTAGGTCAGCTGATACACATCCTCTGAGAGCTCACTTTGCAGAAACTCTGCACTCTGAAGCTCCCGTTTCTACCTTCTCAGTGGCATCTTAAAAAACAACAAAAAAAAAAATCAGGAGTTTCCAATTTCAATACAGTCACCTGTGCATACCCTTCATTCAGTTACTGCTTTTCTGCAAGACTAGAGATGTCAAAATAGAAAGAAAATCAATACATTTAGCCAATCAAAGTATATGGAAATTCCTAGAGTGCTGGAGGAAGTTGGTGTTTTAATTTTTTAAATTTATAGTGCTGAGGTTGGAACTGGCCTCACACAGGCAGGTGAGGGCTCTACCACTGAGTTACCTTCCCAGACTTGGATCCTATTTCTTGTTGCTGGTGCTGGTCACATGATTATTTGATTCATAAAAGTCAGTAAGTTGCACATTTAAGATTTATGCACATTTAAGATTTATTTTATGTATGATATATGTACAGGTGGATATTTATGTCTGTATTAGTCATAAATGCCACAATAGGAAATAACAGAAATGCATAAATGTTTGTATGGGTTCAAGTAATGTTCCTGAAGAAATAATCACTATACTGATACATGAGACATGGTGGGGATTGAGAAGGCCTACATCTGGCAGCTAGACACTGGATTCTAAAAATTCACCACCAACGGAAACGGGGCTCTCTGGGGGAAATGGCTGATGTAGGGTTTGGGGCAGAAGGCACAGGGTGAGCCTGGAGCTTCCTGTTGGGCAGGAAGAAGCAAGCTGGGAGCGTATGCCCAAAGTGTGCACTGACCAAGTCCGAGGTCTCCTGAGCAGCAGGCCATTGAATAAGATGGAAACAGTGAATCAGTGGAGGGGAGCCATCAACAAGTAAACCAAAACCTCAATGAACAGGAGCATCTTTAGTACCAAAGAACCACCAGGAAGAATAATTTCAATGAGAAAAGGAAACCAAGCAATCTCTCAGGTGGACGAAAATGATCAGAGAGAATGTTATCAGCAGACAAGTTTACCTACCTCTGAGAGATGTGCTGAGGAGAGCCTGCACAGTTCTGAATGTTTGTGTCCCCACCAGATTCACTGCCCCAGTGCACCGGTGTGGGGAGACAGGCTCTTTAACAGAGATTAGCATTAAGATGAGGCTTAAAGGTGGCCCCGGGGTAGGTTTAGTGCCCCAACCAGGAGACCCATAAGGGAGAGCTTTCTGTCTCTTCCTCTCTCCTGCAGGAGGACACAACAGGAGGATGATGGAAGCCAGGAAGAGGCCTCACAAGTTTGTCCACACCTTGCCCTGTGACTCCCAGCCTGCAGAGCTCTGAGGAGTAAGCGTTGGTGTTTGCAGCCCTGCTTGTGACTGTCACAGCAGCAGAGCTGACTAACCTGCCAAACGTGCAGAACTAAACACCAGCAACTTCAGCTGAGGGAGCCCAAGCCCACACCTGTCTGATGTCCCCAGAGGAGTCCAGGCTAC